TGTTTCTCAAATTGTTCCCTATAGTGGTGGCCTTGGAGCTGTGGGTAGTTGCTGCAGGATCACAGGGTTGCTTTCCATTGTGATGACCTTCTGGTTCCTGGTTCGGCTGATGCATCGGTTTTACGCTGTTTGTCGCAGGGCGATTCATATTCCTGGGGTCAAAAATGTTACAGCAGATGCCCTCTCTCGTTTGCAGTGGCGGGAGTTCCGTGCGACCACACCTAAGGCGCATACAGACGGGTTCCCCTGCCCAATAGAACTGTGGTACCCCTGGGCAGACCATGTAGTAGCTTGGATTCGGGCATCAGTTTCGGAGGTTACTTGGTCCCGGTATGGTAAGGCTTGGGAGCAATGTGTGGCATTCAAACAGGCCCAGGGTGTGTTTTCTACTACAGAAGATCACAGGGTTGCTGGAGCTTCTTTGGTTTTGAAAGGCTTCTGGGTGCTCGCCGGCATTGGTCTCGACTAAACTATTGAGGCTTAGCTTTTAGTTCATATTGTCCAGGGTTCTGTATGTCACTAAAGGCGTGATGGTCGCGTTGGCGATGAAAGGGTGGAGGAGGGGCCCTAGGGCACCCGACTCATTCAGGTCCATATCTGTTTTCCATTCTGCCGGTGGTGTGCTTTTCTGATTTCGAGGTGGTGCTCTTTTGGCTTGCCTTCTCTTTTGTTTTTTTTAAGGGGCGCTTCAGATTGGGGAATTGGTTAGCTCTTCTAAGCGGGTTCCAGGGGGTGTTTGGTACCAGGATGTCTACTGCAAGGCTGCATCGGTTGGTATTTTGGTCCGCCGGTCTAAGACGGATGTACAGGGGCATGGAGCATGGGTCGCTGTACAGGGCATCCCAGGATCGATTGTATGTCTGGTGACTTGTTTTCATTAGTATCAGGTCCTACACCCCTCCTGTGGGGGCCCCCTCTTGGTGCACCAGGATGCTGGTTTTCTGTCACGGTTTCAGCTCATTCGGGTTTTTCGACTGGTGCTGGATGCTCTGGGCATCCCGAGTTCAGAGCTTGGGGAGATTTTATTCTGCATCAGGGTGACTACGGAGGCATCATGTCTTGGGTTTTCTGAGCAAGCTATTCGTAGAATTGGGCACTGGCAATCGAGGAGGTTCAGAAGTTATGTTCAGCCCTGTAGCCTGATTGCATTTTCCTCTGTTGTGTCTCCATAGGGATGGCTCAGCATGTCCGATTTCTGAAATCTGAAGTAGCGAGTAGCCCCATGTGTGAGCCAGTGTATGTGTATGTTGGTAAATGTGTGTGTATGTGAGTTAATGTATGTAGAAGCAGGTGTGTGGGTGAGCAATGAGTGCCAGATAAACCTAAGGTTTTTTAGGAGGTTTGGTGGAGGCACACTACATGACCTTGCTACACCTCTGACACCACTATTAAGGCAAACAAAGCATGTAGTCAAGCTAACAAGGTAAGTGGACTCTCTGAGTTTTGGTGCACAATAAGGTATGAATCACAAGAGAGTAAAATAGTTATACGTTGAAAGGTCAAAGACGAATAACGGGATGACAAATAACAGAAATCAGGAATCGAAACAACATAGTTAGTCTTGTCAGTATCTAGAAGAAACACCATAGCAGGGATCACATATGCTACTGAAGGTAGCAAATTATATTTTAAATTGTATATATTTAATTGTATTTGCTTTTACAAAATATTTACAGAAAAGTGAAAAAATCTAACATTTATAAACATTACTATCACAATTTTGTGTGAGCTCAGTAAATCAAATAATTGATGTTTTCATTGTACATTTTTTCTCATGACTATTACTTCATTAATGTACAAAGGCACTTCCTCAAAATGATGTTGATGCTCACATTGTCTGAGGTTATCATTTGATCTAAATCACCAAAATGAGCTGTTTGGGCCAAAGGTCAACCAAGTAAAACACATGTGACACAAACTTAAAGAAAGAAGAATAAACCACATTATAAGTAAGAAAATATTTAATTTGAAAATTATGGCAAATAATGGTATGGCTTTCAACATGCCAAATAATTTTAAGTTTAATTTGTAAGCAGTTACAAATGCAATTAAACTGTTGTCAAGCAAAAGGAAGGTTTGTCTGCCTTCTGGTGAGAGCAGCTTTATGTAGCAGGGCTCTGCTCTGCACGTCCTGTATTGTGCAAGGCCGAAAAAGGAAAAACTACGGTGAGCCTGTTAGAAAGAGCAGTAGCGGTGAGCAGTAGCGGTGAAGTGGAGCGTTGCATCTAAGCACCCAAACATCAGCAAGTACTTTGAGATAACTCTAATACCAAGTGAATACCCCTTGATACTTATCTCATTCCGTACAGCCCCGAGCGCCCCAAGCACCTTGAGTGCATGGTCCAGGGTCCTGTGTGTCCTGTGGGTGCGGTGAAGATGGGGATGCCTCTGGAGAGTGAGTGGTGTTGTGTGGTGGGTGCAGAGTCGTCTGAAGAGTCTTAATCACTTGTGTGCTGATTAAACTCTGGTTGGTGAGCGGCATAGGCGTGCACACGGGGTGTGCCGGGTGTGCCTGGGCACCCCCTAATCCCCACGGCATGCCTATGGATTGAGACCGGCAGGGGAGATCTCAGGAGCGCTGGCTCTCCTCTAAGCCTCCATGGGCCGGTGGGGAGAGCCAGCAGCTCTGCTGGGTTCCTCTCACGAGATCTGAGCGTTGCCGCTGCAACGCTCAGTTCTCGCGAGAGTGAACTCTAGCCCCGCAGGCTAGAGTTCACTCTCCACTGGACCACCAGGGATGGCACATGTCAGCAAGGATCCCCACTCCCTACATAAGGTAAGAAGGGAGGGGGAATATTAACTAATCTGCCCCCACCTCCACCGCCACAATCCCTCCAAACATAGAGCACCCTCACACAGCACACAAACAGCACCCACACACACAGCACCTACATACATACAGCACACAAACAGCACCCACACACACAGCACCTACACATATACAGCACACATACAGCACCCTCACACACACATAAACAGCACCCACACACACAGTATACTAACAGCACCCTCACACACAGCGCACACACACAAAGCACCCACACACACACAGTACACTAACAACACCCTCACAAACACACAGCACCCTCACACACAGCACACTAACAGCACCCTCACAAACACCCTCACCCACATGGCACACTACCAGCACCCTCACACACACAGCACACATACAGCACACACACACATACAGCACCCTCGCACACACAGTACACTAACAGCAGCCTCACAAACACACAACACCCTCACACACACAGAACACAACCAGCACCCTCACACACAGCACACAAACAGCACCCTCACACACAGCACCCTCACAAACACACTAACACCCTCACCCACATAGCACACTACGAGCACCCTCACACACACACACACACATCACACTAACAGCACCCTCACACACAGCACCCTTACACACAGCACCCTCACACAGCACACTAACAGCTATAGTACACAAGGCACCTACTATCTCCCTATCTCCAGGGCCGGCGCTACCTGTAAGGCGGACTAGGCAGCCGCCTAGGGCGCCCCTTGGGAGGGGGCGCCGCCAGGAGCGCCGGCCCCGCTCATCCTGCAGCCGCCCGAGCGCTCTGTAAAGAGCCTCAGGCGGCTGCAGCTTTGCCCGGGCGGTGCTTCCATGAGGGCGGACCGCACCGCCCGGGCGCAGCCTGAGAAAGGGGGCTGACAGGAGGGACACGCTCAGCGCTGAGCGCTCCCACCTGTCAGCTCCCTCTCTGTAGCGTGGCCGAGCCCTCTATGGCATGGTCCGACCGGTACAGAGAGCAGCTGTCTCCTGTACCCGGCCGGACTAACAGGAAGTGCACACTCTGTGTTCACTTCCTTTTAGTCCGGCCGGGTACAGGAAACAAAAGCAACCTGTACCCGCGGACCAATAGAGGGCTCGGCCACGGTACAATAGAGGGAGGGAGGGTGGGGGGGAATAAATGGACGGGAGAGGAATAAATGGACGGGTGGGGGTGGGGAGGAATAAATGGACAGGGATGGAGGGGAGGGGAGGAATAAATGGACAGGAGGGGGGGGAATAAATGGACAGGGGAGGGGAGGGGGGAGGAATAAATGGACAGGAGGGAGGGGGGGAGGAATAAAATGGACAGGGAGGGAGGGGGAATAAATGGATGGACAGGGGGAATAAATGGACAGGGGGGAATAAATGGACAGGGAGGGAGGTGGGGAATAAATGGACAGGGGGAATAAATGGACAGGAGGGAGGTGGGGAATAAAATGGACAGGAGGAGGGGGGAATAAAATGGACAGGAGGGGGGGAATAAATGGGGGGGGGGAATAAATGGAGGGGGAGGGGAGGGGAGGGGGAGGAATAAATGGACAGGGAGGGGGGGAATAAATGGACAGTGGGGGGGGGATAAATGGATAGGCAGGGTGGGGGGATAAATGGACAGGCAGGGTGGGGGGAATAAATTGACAAGGTGGGGGGGAGAAATTGACAGGGAGGGGAATTGACGGGGTTAGGAGGGGGAATGAGAGTGGGGAGGGGAGAAGAGAGTTACAACGGGGGAGACAAGAGTGACAAGGGAGGGGGAGAAGAGAGGGACACGCAGGGGAGAAGAGAGGGACACGCAGGGGAGAAGAGAGTGACAAGGGAGGGGGAAGAAGAGAGGGACAAGAGGGGGGAGAAGAGAGGGACAAGAGGGGGGAGAAGAGAGGGACAAGGGGGGGAGAAGAGAGGGACAAGGGGGGGAGAGAAGAGAGTGACGAGGGAGGGAGAGGTGGAGAAGAGAGGGACAAGGGAGGGGGGAGAGATTGACATCCATCACACACACACACAATGCACCCCTTGCACACAGAAAAACGCACAATGCATTACACACACAGACACACACACACACACAAGCAATTCAACCCTTACACACAATGCATCCCTTACACACACAGAAACACAATGCATTCCTTACACACACTCAATGACGCACACACTGCATCCCGTACATACATTGAAACACACATTGCAGCCCTTACACATACAAACACAGATTCACACAATGCATTCCTTACACACATATCAGGACATCCCCTACTCCTGTGAACAAAATAATTGGTGGAACATGAAGGTGGACCCTGGGGCCCAGACCTTGAGCTGTGTAAAGGGCCCCCAAAAAATGGAGCTGCTTCCCGTTCTCCCAGAACACAAACAGCCTCCAGACGAGTGGAGCCAGACTGCAGCTAGAGCCCATCACCATCCTCATCTGATTGTAAGTAGGCAATCTAGTATATTATTCGTGGCACTAAGCTCTAATTTACCTCACATTAAAGGGACACTTTAGTCCCCAGAACGTCTGCAGCTTAATGTAGTGGTTCTGGTGTCTATAGCCTGTCCCTGCAGGCCTTTTAATGTAAACACGGCGGCACTGCAGCACTTGCGTTCGTTAAAATGGGGCATTGTGATGTCATATGGGGGGGCGGCAAACTTTACTTTTGCCTAGGGCGGCAAAAATCCTTGCACCGGCCCTGCCTATCTCCTCCCCTGTATTTTGATGGTAATATTCAAGAATGCCGGGGATTTATTAACCAAATGGAGTATCATTTTGAGGCCTCACCGGGATCTTTTCCCACAGACAGAGCTAAAATTGGTTACCTAATGAATCAATTAAAAGGTAAAGCTTTAGCTTGGGCCAATCCATTATGGGAGAGTAATAGAAGTGTGGCACACAAATACCAGGAGATCCTTACGGAATTCAAACTTACGTTTGAACCTTTAGGCAGAGAGGATCACGCCTCTACTGCCCTGATGCACATCAGACAAGGGAACCGGTCTATCTCGGAATATGCCATAGAATTTTGTACCCTAGCTTCCGAGGTAGACTGGACTAATAGTGGGTTTCTCCGCTCCAAGCCTTGCCCTGACTGCTTTCCTTTCTGCACTCCTAGTGCTCCAAGCCAGCCTTGACTGCTTCCTCCTGCACTCCCAGTGCTCCAAGTCAGCCTTGACTGCTTCCTCCTGCACTCCCAGTGCTCCAAGCCAGCCTTGACTGTTTCCTCCTGCACTCCCAGTGCTCCAAGCCAGCCTTGACTGCTTCCTTTCTGCACTCCCAGTGCCTAGTCTCCTTGACTCTCTATCTGGAGAGAACAGCCTCTCTCCTACCTGCTTCCTGGGAGGAAGCCAGTAATCCCTCTCCTTTTCCTGCCTAGCCGGGAGGGGTTTATTCCCACTGCAACAGCTCATTAACTGCAGCTGAGCAGTGGGTTGGAGACGGTCCAAAAAACCCTGGCTTGGATCTATGTCTCCCCAGAAAACCACTAAACTGTGGAGTGGAGCATTGGCCCACCCTTCTCTCCAAATGCTCCACCCCAGGGGCCCATAACTAAACAAAGCTTTGTGTTGTGCAACACACAAACTACACGTACTTCCCCTGGGGTTAAAAGGCCTATCTGCCTTCACTTTATCACAATATATATACAAGAACTCAATATAAATACAAATAGAGCAGGCAGAGTACACTTGATAGTCCTTAGGCAAACGTAAAGTCCTTAGGCAGGATCGTGCAGCCACCACAGAATATAAGTGGGGCACGGATCCTAAGCCACCAAGCACTAAATAAAAAACACCAAGGAGCAAAGCCCAAAGCAGGTCAAACGTAAATAAGTCAGCAAGGTAAGAATCACTGGAAATGTATAGGCAGGAACACTGCAAGCAAACACTGGAACGGGAGGCACAGGACCAGGCAGAGACGAGAACGCAGGACCATAAGGACATCGGAACAGGAACACAGGATCAGGATACACAGGATACAAGACACAGGAGCAAGGAGTCAGAATCACAGGAACCAGGAAACAGCAGGTACAGGATAAAGTATGAAGGATAATGATCTGACAGGGAGTGAGGGGAGAAACCAGAATATATAGGTGCTAAACAAGGGCCAGGTGTAGTGCTTAACGAAAAGAAATGAGAAAAAATGGCAAACAGAAACAGTGGTGTGAGTACTGCACGTGGGCATATTAACTAAGGAGTGTTGTGACAATTGTATAGAGTTCTTTAATGTCACTGGTTGGATCTTTTTTAAATTTCTTATACGTATTATTGTCTCCTAATTGTTGTCCTATCTCTTCTAAATATTTGACTTTATCTAAAATTACTACTCCACCCCCTTTATCCGCAGGTTTAACTACTATTGTTGGATCTTTTTGTATTTCATCTATTGCTTTTTTTTCATGGAACGTAAAATTTTGGCAGTTTTTGGATAAAGGTTTTATTTTATAAAGGCATGCACACTCAAAAACTTTCATATTATCTGATTTTAAAAACAAACGATAAAATTTAGATTTACTTTTTAGATTGGCGTGCACAATACCAGAATTTTTGTTATGAGTTATCTCTTGATTCAAAGGCAATTTTGTTTCTTTTCTCTTAAAAAATTTTTTAAACACAATTATCTGGTGTACCTATTTATGTCAAGGAAGGTCTCAAATTTATTTATAGAGCAGCTCGGTGCAAACTTGAACCCTTTGGTTAGTACTTTGGTTTGTGTCTCTGATAAGATTTTTTTAGATTGATTAAACACTTTTATATTGCTGGTCTTTTTCTTCTTATTTATGGAAATAATTCTCCCTCCTCTTTTTCCTCTTCTAATACCCTGTACCTTTTTCTTAGGGTATCTCTTAAGTGATTTTCTCATCTTGGTCTTTGATCTAAAAAAGGCACATCCTCGTCTCTTTTTTGTTTCAGCTGTTCAAAGCGATTTTTAAGAGGAATTTGGAAAGACTGTTTGTTCTGAGGTGGTATCTTCCTATAGGGACTTTTACTACGAGGACCCCCCTCTTTGATTCTCTCACTATACATAGGGCAATATCTTGGGTTAGTGGGATTCTGGGCTATATAGGGTCTGATATTTTCATTACGGCTTTGTCTAAATGGTTTACTAATCTCCTTTTCTCTGTTCCAGTATGGCCTTCTAGTTCTATTTATTCTTATTGGGGACTGAGAAGAAATCCTATTTGGTCGTTCCTGATCATTACTGTATCTACCAAATCTTTCTTGGTTTTTCTTATTATGAGGGACTTTTCTGATTCTGTTGTTAGTGTAGTCTTCTCTGTCTCTTTGGAATTTTCTTTTCTTATTCGCGACAATTGAACTTTCAATTCTGTCAATTTTGATTTTTACTTTCTTTCAAAGTCTTTTGTACCCACAAAGGGTTCCAATTTTGTTTCTATTTCTTTAATGAGACCATCTATCTCAATTAGATTCTCTTTCCTTTCATTTACGATGATATTAAACCACATCCTGTCCAGACCATATTTGGAAATGGGAGGGAATTTGTTTTTTCAACTAACACAAGTGATATTATTTTGTAATTAAGTATGTTACATATATAACTGATGGATATTCAGTGTATGAGATACCTGCACCTGAGGAAGACCTTATATAGGTTGAAACGCGTTGTGCTTTTATTATTCTTTATACTTTTACTAAAGTTAAATAAATATTTACTTTTAATTTCCACAATGGACCCTGGAATCTTTGTTACATTTAACCATAGAGGTACTGAGTTTTTGTGGGTGTGACTGCTGAATTTCTACCTACATATCTTCTGAAGTGAGATGAAATGCACCATAAGTCCAGAGCCAACTTATAATAGGCTCTAAAAATTGTGAGTTTGCCGACTACTCTTATTCATAATAATTGTTTAAATACAGGTCACACTATGTGTATTTGTTTTATTTAATATAGGCAAAAATACCTTTTTAAGAAAGAACCTGTTTTATATATCTTTTAAGGTAAACATATTTATTTATGTGCGCTAGTCACTTTATTCTGTACAATCACGTGTTTCTTTAAGTGTAAAGAGTGACATTACGCTTGGGGATTTTTTAGCAGCACTAGACACTTTCTTCTTATTTCACAGCTGCTTTATTTATTCTACTTTTCTGTGAAATTACTATAGCATCTTTGTATGTCCCAAACCAAACTCAAGAAGCATTTCTGAAAAAAGCATTTAAAAAAATAGCATTTTTGAAAAAAGGTTATGATATTATTTGCGGGGATTTCAATTGTACATTGCACCCAGGACTAGATATTAAAAGAGAATGTAATAAGAACCCCAGTCATATTTCACTTTATTAGCTAAGCGATTAGCTAAATAATTTCATATGCATGATTTATTTGATACTTGGCGCAGTTTATATCCAACAGCAAGGGATATTCTTGTTTTTTTCTCTGTCCACATCACATATTCACGCATTGATATGTGTGTGGTGGATAAAAATATAATTAAAAATATAATTGATATCAAAATAGGTAGTAGAACTTGGTAAGATCATGCGCCGCTAACTATTAACTTTAAATCCTTTTATTTAGCTTGTGGTAGAGGAAAATGGCGACTAAACAAGGCATTACTAGATGATCTAATAAATCAACAAAAAGTAAAGGATATGATAGAATTATATTTTCAGGAAAATTTAATAGGCCCAATTTCACTAACGACACAGTGGTTAGCTCATAAGGCTGTTATGAGAGGCATTTTGATTCAAATTGGTTTTTTGAATAAAAGGAGAGTAGATACGGAGCTGTCGCGACTTTTTCTTTTAAGAATCTCAAAATAAATTGAATACCTCAAAAATGCTATCTAAAAGGATAGGTAATATTAAAAAAAAAATTCTACAATTTTTCTTTACAAGAGACTGAGAAACAAATGTGATTTTTAAAACAAACACATTGCAGCTATGGCAATAAAGAAAGCAACTCACACAGAAATTAAAAACAAACTATTTACAAACTGAAATACCATATTATTTCTGCTCAGAATGAGAAACTTTACAATCCAGAGGATATTGTAGAGGAGCTAACCTTGTACTATAGCAAACTGTATAAATTAACAGGGGATGTAGAAACACATCAGCCTACATGAGAGGAAATTAATTGTTTTTTGGATGAGGTTCCATTAACGGAAATAAATGTGGAGCAAAAAAGGTTTTTCAAAAATGCCTTTACAGAAGATGCGTGAGGCAATCTTAACTCTTCCAAAACAAAAAGCTCCAGGCACAGATGGGTTTTAGAATTACTATTATATTAAAATGGAATCCATTCCAACACCTCACCTTACTGTACTTTTTAATTTTATAAAAAATTCTGGCCACATACCAAAATATGTGAAATATTTAATAAAAGCTGTGGCCTATTTTCACCACAGAAATTTCCTCTTGGGTTATAGATCGGATCCATCGTTTACCGAAGCCATTTTGTGCTCCCACAGATAAACCTGGCAATGTAATTACCTGCTTTCATTATTTCCGCCACAACTATGGCTTTAAGGTGTGAATTTGGGAATCTTACAAAAAATCTAAGAGAAAAGAAAATTCCATGTATGTGGGGTTACCCAACAAAGTTGATGATCTGGTCAAATGGAGCTTTGAATATATTTCTTACCAAAGAAGAAGGAAAGAAAAAAATTGGAAATGGAATCCATTCCAACACCTCACCTTACTGTACTTTTTAATTTTATAAAAAACTCTGGCCACAT